ACATGATGTGCACATTTTGGCACATCTTCCAGCTGGGAGGTTGACCTGAGATTTATTACAAAGCTTTCCTTTTTCCCCAAACCAACAAATGAAAGGCTCTTTGTGAGGCTCTTGCTGACGTTATGTACCAAAGAGACACTCTATACCAAAGGGATATTACATACCAAATATTCAGAGATGTTAAATACCAAATCTGCTCCATGCGTTTCATACTCTGCCCTTTTATTTTAGCAGGGGAATTACTGCTGGAGGAAAGCTTTACCATCCCTGCGTGGGAGTCAGAGCCAATAACCATGCTTTGGTGCAGGGAAGGGATCAGGGAGAGGAACGCTGCTCTGAGGATGCTCCAGATGCTCACATGGAGTTGTTGTCATGGGCACAGTGCTCCCCATAGGCATCTCCATGGCTACCTCAGCACTGAGCAGTGGGGATGCAAGTGCAGCAGAAAGCACAGTAAGCTCAAAGGCTGCGTGCTCCCTCCCACCCAGGAGCACTTGGGATCATCCAAAAGGTTTGTCCTTGGGGACGCTGGCTGTTTTTCAGCCAGAGCTCAAAGGCAGCTGAGATCTGCAATTATTATTATTTGTCTAAGTGAAAATTTCAGATTTTTAGTCTCCCCTTATGTGGAGTTTCTACGGTGGGTGCATTGGGCAGAAGATGAGACTCAGAGCTTTTTTACCATCCTTATCCAGTGTCATCAAAGAGTCATAGAATCACAGAATCATGAAGGTTGGAAAGACCACCAAGCCACCAAATCCAACCCCAGCCAACCATGCCCATTGACCACATTCCTCAGAGCCACATCTCCATAGATCTTAGACCAGGGAGGAGCAAAACATGCAGGCTAAGCCTTCTTTTCTTTCATGGTAAGGGGCTCTTATGATAGGAACCATCCTGTGCTTCAGGTTTTGGTTCAGAAGATGCTCACCTGTAAAGAAACACAGCCAGAACTTTGATGTCCAATCTATGGCACTGGTGGCTTTGTGGCAGGAAGCGCCTGCATCGCTGCAGAATCTTTCATCCTCCTCAAAGCACTTTGTCCCTACCAGCAAGTTATTTCTTACAAAATCTATCAAGCAGTTGACACATCTGTGCTTTCCAAACGAGTGAGGATTTCCCCGTGTTTCCCCAACTGAAATTCTCTCTGGTACCCAACAGAGAAATGCCTCATTTTATGCATTATTAAAGGATGATTGCTACCCAAAGCCAGCAGCAGCGCATAAGATGCCTATGTTATGTATTATGTGATTCAATGAACTCTCTCCAGATCCTGGACATAGTGCTAAGGGCAATTGGGTAATAAAATTGATGTTAAATCTGCACAGAGCCATTATGGACTGGATTACAAGAACCATGCAGCCTTGTCATGGGGCTGCTGTCTAGGAAGGATGGAGAAACATAAACTTGGCCAAAGAACCAGGTCAATTGTCCATGCCAGCCTCAGCACAATGAGGCTTCTTGCAAGTAAAGCCTCACACACAGCTGTGAAATAGCAAACAATAGTCAGTGCTAATAATACAACACAATTTCTAATTCCCAGGGCATGTTTGTGGCTGTATTCTGCCCAGAAACATCTGCACTGTTCAATATATCTTTGTGGTATCAATGGTGCAAGGATCTTGTCACGTAAAAAAGGAATTATCCTGCAGCAAAGCCTCTGGGACGTGAGTTCTCAGCATGCTTGGGAGCTGGGGTTACTCTGCTAAGCAGTCCTTGGGTCAGCCACTACACCAAATAAATCAAAGATGCTCAGTTCAATGCAGTTACATCAACCCCACGGCTGGGATTAAATGAAAAAAAGCTGCACATTGGGGTCTTATTCCTTCCTCATTAACCACAGTAACTCTTCTGAACAGATACTTTTAAAATGAACATTTTGGGGTCTGGGCTGAACACAGAGATTGGAGCTGTTTGTGGCAGCTGGGGGTCCTGCAGTTTTGTGTCTCAGCTTTTGGAGCTATTTTCAGGGATGATGAGAGCAGCAGATGGGGAAGGTCATGGGGCCATTTTCTGGAGAAAAACAGGTTGGTCTTGTGAAAAACAGAGAGAAAGAAAGGGAAATGAAACAACAATAGTAAATACCCCAATGGTATTTTAATTCCAGAAATAGGCCGATTGTGTTAGAAGGAGCTGCAAACACTTTTCCTGTATTTTTTTCCTTAATTCTGGGAGCGGGGGAGAGGAATTGATGTCTGGAAATAGCTGCTGGGGGGGGACACACCTGGGCTGGCGCCAGAGCTCCCGGCTCCCACTGCCCTCCGGCCACTGAATTATTGATCATAGTAATTATAGACACTTCTCAGGGTCACTGCTAGAGCATGAGAGAGGCGTGCATGCAGGTGAGGAGCTGCAGGAGTTGAATTTCCAGAGAGAAGATGTGAGAAGGCGCGGTTCAATCAGCACAGGTTTGGTTCAAGTCCCATAAGTGCGCAGAGCATTGAGCCAAGACAAACCCAGATGGAAAAAAAACCAACTCTGATGAAGAAGGTATTCACTTTAATTAAAAAACACTGCATTCAGAAGCTGGAAATGCAACATTTGCAGTCCTTATGCTATCAGTGAAAATAACTGAGTGGAGAGAAAGGCGCGCCAGCCTTGACACAGCACCAACACTTTGGTTCCAATGGACTGGGAGCTGGCAGAGCTTGTGGGGATCATGGCTGGGACAGCTGACCTAAACCAATCAGAAGGACCTTCCACACCATATGGCATCACCAATAAAAGCTGAAGAAATGGGGGAAGCCACTTTCCCCCAAGGATGGGAAACTCTTGTCATGAAAGCAGCTCTCCTCCAAAGAACTGCTATGCATATTGAGGCTCCGCTTCCCAAGAAGTGCCAAGTATTGCTTGGTCATGGGAGGAAGAGAATCATGTTTTCTCCTTTTGCTTCTGCACAGCTCTTTCTTTTTTTCTTTTTCTTTTTTTTTTTTCTTCCCTCTTCCCACTCTCTCCCTCCAATTAAACTATTCTTAATTTATAAGGCTTTCCTTGTCTTGCCATTGTATTTTCTTCCTCTCTCCTTCTACGGTGGTGCACAGATGAACATTAATAGTTAAACCATCACAAGGGGCATTTAGGAAAGGGCTGGAAGTTATTCATAAACCATGGCCTTGCTTCAGCTGAGGAATCATTAACCAAGCCTGTCCTCATTTCCTTTTTCCCCCATAAAAATAAAGAAAAACTCGAATCTAATTGGATTAGGGCAATTTCTGGAATATTCATTGGTAATTTATTATTAACCCAGAGATGCAACCACTCACGTTTTCAATCTGTGTAGCTCCCAGGCAGGGAGCAGAGCTATGGTAGTGCTGACCACACGTATTTACAGCACTGTATTCCTTTGCTTCATTACTCATCCGTGCAGCACTTCGTGTACTGTGATTAGGCTTTAAGAAATAACTCTGGGAAGAGGAGCTAATTGAATTAGGCTCCATTGTCGGCACACCTATATTGTTCTTCTTTAATCAACAGGTCAGTTAAACAATTATTTTCGTAGTTGTTACCTTGCACTTTTGCCCTTTTCAAAAACCCATTGCAATGCTGACCCCTGCAGGTAAATGGCGCATAGAACCAGCTGGCTTCGGGCAGCAATAACCTAAATAATGCATAACATGGGCTTTTTATGCGCTGCTGCTGGCTTTGGGTAGCAATCGTCCTTTAATAATGCATAAAATGAGGCATTTCTCTGTTGGGTATCAGAGAGAATTTCAGCTGGGGAAACACAGGGAAATCCTCACTCGTTTGGAAAGCACAGATGTGTCAACTGCTTGATAGATTTTGTAAAAAATAACTTGCTGGTAGGGACAAAGTGCTTTGAGGAGGATGAAAGATTCTGCAGCGATGCAGGCGCTTCCTGCCACAAAGCCACCAGTGCCATAGATTGGACATCAAAGTTCTGGCTGTGTTTCTTTACAGGTGAGCATCTTCTGAACCAAAACCTGAAGCACAGGATGGTTCCTATCATAAGAGCCCCTTACCATGAAAGAAAAGAAGGCTTAGCCTGCATTTTTTGCTCCTCCCTGGACTAATCTCTAATTATGTTTAAGAGGTGGGCTTGCTTGGGTCCCATCTTTCAGCCCTTGAGCAAGGGGGTTTTCTAGTCCCCAGCCTGCTGGAAGTTTTTTTCATCAGTCTGCTTAGTGAGTGCCAGGAGCACCTGTCAGGGCCGGGAAATAATAATTAATAATCATAAATGATGAATATCACCAGTGCTTTGAGGGCCCAAGCTGGAGGATCCCAAGACCCAACCTGCTGATGGTTTGATGATCCGAAATGTTCGGGGTCCCAAGACCCAGGGTGTTCAGAATCTCACAACCCAAGGTGTTCAAGGTCCCCAAACCTAAGGTATTGCCAAGACTCGAGGTGTTGAGGGTCCCAAGAACAAAGATGCTGAGGGTCTCAAGATCAGTGGCCTTGCCCCCACTGCATGGGGGAGGCCCTGCCCCCCTTCCAGCCCTGATTCTTGTGACCTCTCCAGAGTGACCTTGAAGCAGAGGGGACTGAGAGCTGGCTATGCTCCTCTGAAAGGCTGCAGCCCCCACACCTGAGCATTTCCTGGCAGAATCACAAAAATAAGCAGGCAGTGGTAGGTTTGGCTCAGGAAGGTTTAATGTGCTCCATCCCAGGAGAGGAGAAGCATTGCAGGGCGCTGCTGCAGGAGGGCTGCAGTGGGCGAGAGGGAGCCGGCATGCGTCGCAGAGGGGTCTGCATGTGCAGCGGGAGAGCCAGCAGTCAGCGGGAGCTGCAGGGACGCTGCCTGAGGTCCCTGGTCAGCCAGGCTCCAGGGAGGTCCCTGATGGTACTCAGACACTGAGGAAGAGATGCTGCAAGGACCCAGAGCCCTACAGCGCATGGACACGGGTGTCCCTGTAGTCAAGAAAGATGGGCAGACCCCATGGACGTTGGGTTGTTGGAGGGACCTGGAGTCCTACAACATTCGGATGTGCCTCACACTCAGAAAAGATGGCTGAGGAGGAGGAAGCTCTACAATGCTCGGATATGAGTTTGATAGGCAGAAACATAGGGCATGCAGCAAGCAGCCCAGGTCTCAGCCTCCACCATACCTGCAGAGCCTGACCTAGAGCTTCAGCGCCGTGACGCGAGGGATGTGGAAGGGACAGGTCTCCTCTGAGCCTGTAGAGCTGTGGAGAGAGAAGGAGAAAACATCAGATAGCCAAGGAGGAGCACACATCTGCCCACTCTGCACTGGAACTCGCCCACCCCATGCTTGCTTCTTACATGAGCCGGTTGCGGATGGGGCGGAAATGCTTGGTGAGCCTGATGGCAAAGATAATGTTGGGGATGAGGAAGAAGGTGCAGCACCCCAGGCTGAACCAGAAGGCATTCTGCAAGGAGAGAGCACATGTGTCCCTGCAGGGCTGTGCAGGGAGAGGCAGAACCAAAGGTCCAGAGGGGCTCAGGGAGCCTTGTGGTTGCTGGTCCCAGTGTGGGGTGCAGCAGTGGGGTCCTTACCCAGGGGTCAGCAATGCGGTCACACAGGATCACCCTCCCGTTGTCAAGGGCTGTGGCAAGAGGCTGGCACGAAGCCACATCCTCCCTCAGCTGGAACAAGAAGTGGGGAGTCCAAGCTTAAAATCCCACCCAGCTCAGGAGGATGCAGTTTGCTGCCTCCACTCTGACAACTGTGAGCACCCACCGTCTGTCCGACCCAGTGCAGGTACTGTGCAAAGTAGCGCAGCTCCTTCCTTGTGAAGCAGCCGATCTCCTGGGGTGGAAGGAAAGTGGCATGGAGGCTGAGCTTGGAAAGAGGACTTGAGGCTCCAATTGCCCCTTCCTTGATTCCTTTACTGCTTTTATTCTCTGGCTGTGGGGTATTTTTCCGCCCCTGTCTCACCTGCCGGAGGATCTGCTGGGCTTGCACAGGCAACCGGGCTTCCACTGATGCAATGGTGGCCAATGTGGTCTTCACTCGCTCCTAGAGAAGTGCAGGAAGTACAGAGAACCCTCAGGGCACTCAGCAACACTGAGCCTGGTGGGATGGGTGCCCCAGGATGAAATTTCTAATTTGGCCTGATTGCTCTGGGGTAGGGAGAAAAAAACCTCCTGGCAGGGTAGAGGCTCAATTAAACACAGTGAGGCATCTCTGCCAGGGATGGGACTGATGCTCATGGGCTGGCATCATTCCTGGGTCTCCATCATCCTATGACTCACTTTTGGGATGCTGTACACATAGGGCTCCATGTATATTTTTGGTACCTGAAGGTGTGGTGCCAAGCGTGAAAGGAACCGGACACTTTCCCCCAGCTTCACCTATAGGACAGGGAGGTGAGAAAGCTGCAAAATCCCTTTTCTCCCTCCACAGGGACACGAGCTGCCTTGTAGGTGTGAACTCACCACCAGCGCCTCCTGAGTTTGCACCGTGGAGTTCTGCATCTGCCACAGAGCCTTGGCCTCGGCAGCCAGCCGTCCTGCCACTGTGCCATTCCTCTGCAGGGGGACGGCGGGGTGAGGGCAGCCCCGTGGGCACATGGGCAGCTGCTGCTGTCTGCCATGCCACTCACCTGCATCTTCTGCAGCCCCTCCAGGCTCCGAGCCAGAGCAGGGAGGCTGGTCTGCACCACAGGGATCTTCATCTAGAGGAAAACAGAGTCATCGGCTGCTTGAAATCCAGCCTCGGAAAGTCGACTGTCACGGGGAACTGCCAGCATCCCCTCACCTCCTCCTGGAAGCTCCCATAGTCCACCTCATCCACACCGCTGCGGGCAAAGGTCTCCAGGTCGTTCCTGCCCTCACTGCGGAGCAGCCGCACATCCCCCAGCTGTGCCGTGAAGTCACCCAGGCGTTTTTGGAAGTTGGCCGTGTACTGCAGGGATGAGATAGGGATGCTCTGAGCCTGGCACCTCCATCCCAGTAACCCCAGTAAAGCTCTTGCATCCCTGCGTTGCTTCCAGAAGCTCTGCTTGAAGGCAGCCCTCACCTTCGGACTTTTGAGGTGCTCATCCAGGTCGTAGGACTTCTCCAGCTGCAGCACCTCCCACAGCCCCGCGCCACTCTTGCACTCCCTGCAAGGTGAAGGGCAGTCATTATCACCCCAATTAGCACTCCTCCCTCCAATGTGGGGCAGGGGAGGGCTCCTGCCAGCACCCACCTGTACGCAGCAGTAAGGTTGGAGTCCTTCCTGAGGTTGAGCTGCTGGGTGAGGTTCATGGACGGAGGGAGGTTCCCAGGGGTGTCAATAAACTGAACAAAACAGTCAGAAAGAGAGGGGCAGGGTGAGCTGCATGCATTTCTAGACATGTTTTTTTGGGGGTGATCTGCCCTCACATGTATGTTCTGGCGAATCCAGTGATCCAATTGTAATCTTAATTTTTTGGTCTAGGATAGGGCTTTCAGGTTGGACATTAGGAAAAACTTCTCTGAAAGCGTGTTCAGGCACTGGCACAGGCTGCTCAGGGAGATGGTGGAGTCACCATCCCTGGAAGTGCTCCAGAACCATGGAGATGTGGCACCGAGGGACGTGGTTTAGTGGGCAATATTGGTGGTAGGTTGACAGTCGGAGTAGATGATCTTTTCCAACCTTACTGGGTTCAGGGACAGGAGGCAGAGCATTTGTGGGCGTCTTGGTGAACGCATGCAGAGATGTATGAAGCGACACGATGTCCACCCACCTTGTAAATCTCCTGGTTGACCCAATTCCTGCAAACCAACGTCTGGACGTTGCCCCCAACCAAGAAGGTGGTGAAAACCATGAGGATGAGGAGCCAGGAGAACAGGAAACCCAGGCCCACGCCGCTGAAAGAAGGAGAGGAGGTGCCGAAGGCAGCTTTGCAGACCTGAGCAGGCTTGCGGTGACCTGCCTGGCCCTGCGGCTCCCTCCTGCGCCCAGGCACGCCGGCTGGGTGCGGGAGCTGCTGGCTTCCAGGGAGGAGCAGCTTCTCCCAAACCCTCCGGCGCAGGCGGTATCTACAAAAGCCTTTCAGTTCAGCTGGCTCCTGGTTCCTGCCTTTGCTTTTTGCCTTTTTTTTTTTTTTTTTTTTTTTTGGGTGCATGAAGTGGCCACAGACCCCTGGGAGTAATGCTTACATCATGAGAAACTTGGCACCGGCTTCTCCTCGGCACTCGTAGTCGCTTGGGTCCTCCCGCTTGGACAGTCCATAGGCACCCAGAGCCATCCCAGCCACATTGCAGGTGACAATGAGGAGGACGATGGAGCACAGCGCTGTGCCTGCAACCCACCTGGGGGAAGTAACAGGTTGATGGTTGCATTTGATGATCTTTTCCAGCCTTAATGGTTCTGCGATTCTATGGGCATGGTGGGGATGGGTTGACGATTGTACTGGATGATCTCACTGGTCTTTTTCAACCTTAATGATTCTACGATTTTAAGTTGCAGCAGGACATGAGCTTGAGATAAAGAGCCACATGAGGCTTGGAGAGGGTCAGCACCCACCTCCTTTGCACCCCTGCAGCCATTTGGATCACCTGTACCACTCGAAGCGCTCCACCTCCCGGAGGAAAGGCTGGCTCCTGTCCTCTGCCTTCAGCAGGGCTTTGTTGACGTGCCGGGTGTAGTCAGGGAGGGGGAAGCCATCGGCTATGGTCTGCACCTTCTCTGACACTCGGGCCATCTCCTCCCTCAGCTCTGCAGGATGAAGAGAGATACTGAAACCCTGGAGTGTGTCCATAGAAGGGCAACAAAGCTGTGAAGGGTCTGGAGCACAAGTCTTATGGGGAGCGGCTGAGAGAAGTGGGACTGTCCAGTCTGCAGAAGAAGAGGCTCAAGGAAAACCTTATGGCTCCCTGCAACTCCCTGAAAAGAGGTTGTAGTGAGGTGGGATTGGCCTCTGCTCCCAGGTAACAGCGAGAGGATGAGAGATGATTGCCTCAACTTGCACTAACAGACATTCGGGTTGGATATTAGGAACAATTTCTTCCCAGAAGGAGTGGTTGGGCACCGGCACAGGCTGCCCAGGGAGGTGGTGGAGTCATCGTCCCAGGAAATGATCAAGAGCCATGGAGATGTGGTTGTGAGGGACATGGTCAGTGGGCATGGCGGGGCAGGCTGGGGTTGGACTAGATGACCTTAGAGGTCTCTTCCAACCGTAATGATTCTATGATTCTAAGATTAAATTGGAGGGGGTCCCTGTGTCCCACCCCATATCTGAATCAGGATTTGCCCCACAGAGGGCACCCCTCCTACTCATGGGGGTTCTGCTCACCCTGGATCACTTGCGCCATCCTCTCCACAGCCAGCTCTGGGATAGAATTGAAAGTACCATTGCCCTGTAAGGAGAAGAGGGAGTGTGAGTGGCAGAGTTGGAGACACCATGGGTGCTGAGCCACCCCTCTCCACCCACCTGCCGAATCATCTCCGCAAAGTCACTTCGGGGCAGACCAGCCAACGTCTTCAACACCTTCTCCACTGAGGGCACCTTGGAGTGAGAAAAGCATCCCATGAGCCTTGGGAGTCAAAGGAGTGGGGGGTGACCAGCACTCCATCCCACCTTGCTGTAGTCAGCACCCAGCTGCAGGCTCTGTGCCCTGCCCAGCACGCTGGCACAGGAGGTGCAGCGCGGATCGTCCAGGAGTGCGACCACACGCTGCCGTCGCTCCTGCAGTGCTGGCTCCAGCTCAGCCCGTGCCGCTGTCAGCACTCGGACCGTCTTGTTGAGAATCTGTAAATGGTGCAGCGAGGTCTGTAGGTCTTAAAGAAAAAGCCCAGGGCTAGTTCTCGCTGCTCCACTCGGCCACCCCTGTCTGCAAGCAAGGCTTTGGGAGCAGCCCGGGGTTAATCATGCTTAACATTACCTCCCGCCCTGTCCTGCAGGTCTGCCAGTGCTGCGTAGGTCATTGCCTTCAGCTGTGTGTGGATGGAGAGCCCCACGCTGCGGCTCACCCCTGCAAGGCACCACAAGACCATCAGCCCCTTGTTCCATTCCAGAACAGGGTGCACTGGGGGTCTGTGCAGTCCTTACCCCCCAGGTCAGAGATTATCTGCTGCCGGGGCACTTCAAACTGGTCCACCACCATTTGCACGCCCTGCAAAGAGAGAGGAGCTGCTGTGCAGGGGAATCCTCAGGGAGCTGAGAAAGCCCTGGGTTGTATTAAAAACGCATCCATCTCACTTGCTTCCCTAACTGCTTTTCCCTGGCATAGCAGAGTCATTCCAGCACCCACCTGGGGGATGTTGGCAATGTGCTGCCGCAGTGTGCGCAGCGTGGCCGGCACAGCACCGAGCCCCGGCTCCATCTGCTCCTTCACTCGCTGGTTGGTGACCAAGGCACAGATGGCACTGGTCCTGCCAGGAACAAACAGGAGGTGATGGGAAGGTCCCATAGAGCATCCCCATCTCCATCCTCAGTCTCATCCCAATCCCCATCCTCAACTCTATCCCCACCCCCAACCCTATTCCCATCCCCATCAGCATGCTCCCTTTGGGGTGAGGCACTTCAGGACACTCACAGGATGATGATGGAGGTGATGGAGAGGCAGACAAGGAGGCAGCGGCGCCGGCAGGCCAGGGAACGCCGGTGGGCACGCAGGCGGCCCCCGCACCGCCGCCGACTCCGGCAATAGCAGAAGCACAGCCCTGCCACTGGCACAGCCACGGTGAAGAGCAGAGCCACCGCAGCACAAATGACATAGCCCAGCTCGTACTGCACCACCTGTGTGACAGCAGAGAGTGGTTTGGGGTGTTCTGTTTGTTTTTATATATCCCCAATTTTTGGTTGGGTGCCACCGCTGTGGCTTCCATGTCATCATGTCCCTGCTCACCTGTGATGCCCGCACTGAGCTGGGGTTGTTCAGGGCTGCCCTGAGAAGCTCTGCAAACAAACCGTGGCAATAGTGAATGCCTCAAGGGCAGCTCCCACATCCCACCTGGTGCACCTCTATCCCTCCGTGGGCAGCGTCCCCTTCCGTGATGGGACAAAGCAGCTTCCACCCCACCAACCACTCCCAGGTACTGTAGAGGGCTCCAAAGGGTGGTGATGGTGGCAATGTTGCCGTTCCAGGTGGGGACTCACCTGTGGGTAGGGGATTCTGCTGGATGAGGTCCAGGTAGTGTCGGACGAGGCCATAGAGGGGGTCAAGAGAGCTGGGCACGCGGTGCAGCGCCGGCACTCGGATTTCAGCATGGGTGTCGGTGAAGCGGAGGACACCAGCAGGGCTGCTGGGGTGACACTGCTGGGCGCCAGCAGGACGCAGCAGCACCCAAGCAAGGAGCAGCCCGGCTGCCCGCATGGCTTCGGCGGTGAGGAAAGAGCCGGGCGGCCCCGTCAGCCTGCGAGCGCACGGAGGGGCATGCCCGGCCCTGGTGGCTTCGTTGGCTGCTCCAAGGAAACCTGCCTGACAGGTTGGCCGCCGCCGAGCCCAGACGCTGCGTGGCTGCTCCCCCAGCCTCCCTGGGGCGTCTGGGCTTGGCCAGGCTGTGCAAGGCGGGGTGATGAGCCGCCCAAACCTTCCCAAACCATCCCAGAGCTGTTTTGCAAGCACTGCGTCCCTCGCCATGCTCGGCCCTGCAGGCAGCAGAGATCCCTCCTCACCCTGCAAAGAGCATCCCCTTGGCTGGGCTTGGATGAGGCTCGTCCCCAGCTGTCCCATGGGCATGTCCTGCTCCATAGAAGGAGCTGAGCTCTAGTGACAGGGATGGCAGGAAGGGAGGGAGCTTCCCTTTGGGGCAAAGTGCAAAGCAGTGTGCGCCCTCCTTCAAAAAAAGGTGCTTTTCCCCCAGCAGGGGATGGTCACAGTGACTTTCTGGAGCAGATGGCATAGTGCACTGCTCCACATAGAATCACAGAATGGCTGGAGTTGGAAGGGACCCTTAAAGGCCATCTGGCCCAACTCCCTGCAATGAACAGGGACACCCACAGTTCAGTCAGGTGCTCAGAGCTCCAGTCTGACCGTGGATGTCTCCAGGGATAGGGCATCCATCATCCCTCTAGGCAACATATTTCAGTTCCTCACCAACCTCACTGCAAATTTCTTCCCTATATCCAGTCTAAATCTCTCCTCTTTGAGCTAGAAACCATTTCCCCATATCCTATGACAACAGATCCTGCTAAAGTCTGTCCCTTTCTTTCTTACAGTCCCCCTTTATAACTCTCCTGGGAATGAGATGCACCAGACTGGAAAATCCTGCCCTGGACCTACAGGCTAGGCTGATTCCTGTCCCGGGACAAAACTCCCAGGACCAGAAAAGCATGGAGTCGGGAGAGCAATTACACACCAGGCATCTATATACGTCTATATGACTGCAAAGCAGCCCTGGCCGCCCCCGCTTCCCTGTGCCGTGGGAACGGCTCCTCCCAGCACTCCCTGCATCTCCCATGGGTGCCCACAGCAGGACAGGAGCAAATTCCCCCTCCATCCATCCATCTGCTCCCATCCAAGGTGGCCATCCCTGCCCCAACTCATGGGGAAGGCATGGGAAGCTTCCCCAATAAAGCATCGCATAAGAGAAATGAGAATAAATAAGGAGAAAAAAATATATATCCCATCTCAGTGATTTCCTATCTGAACAATCACTCACTATCCAAATACATCTTAATTTTCCATCCCAAAAATTCTGCATCCCAACAAAGGCTTTTTTGGGGGTGAGGTGGTTTTAGAGGGGAAGGGCTGGGGCTGGCAGTGGCAGCTCCCAGGACACTGATGCATTTGTTGCACTGTACTGCCTCACAGATGGGCACAGGGTCTGAATGGACTCCAGCATGTGCCTACCCAGGTCACTGTAGGGCATCTTCTGCTCCAGGCGTCAGCCCTGCAGAGCCTCGGCTCTAAGGTTTTAGGGCTGGAGTCTGTCCTGCGGCCCAGCAATGGAGGACAGAAGCCCACCACCACCACTTTCCTGTTACCACGATGATTTTCTGTTCAAAAATAAAAAGATTTCCCATCCCGGAGTCACCTATGGGCCCCCAATACTGTCCAAAGCCCCCCAGCACTGTCTGCAGCCCCTCAATAACCTCCCAGAGCCCCGATGTCCTCCCAGTGCCCCAGTGCTGTCTAGAGCCCCCCCCCCAAGTGCAGTCCAAAGCTCTCCAGTGCCCCCTGGTGCTGTCTGCAGTCCCTCAATAACCTCCCAGCGCCTCCCAATATTGTCCAGAACCTCACAGTGCAAATCCATTGCCCCCAAGCATTGTTTGGAGTCCCCCTCAGTGCCATTTGCAGCCCACTAACCTGCCCCTAGCACTATCTAAAGATGCCCATATCCTTCCCAGCGTCTTCCAGCACTGCCTAGAGCCCTTCCTGGGTCCCAAATGCTGTCCAAAGCTCTCCAGTGCCCCCTAGTGCTGTCTGCGGCCCTTCAATAACAACCCAGTGCTCTCCCAGTTTCCCTCGGGTCTGTCTTGTAATCCCAGTACCACCAGTACTGCTTAGAGCGCCCCAGAGCAATCCCAGCACCCCCCAGTACTGCCAGTATCTCCTCATTGCCCTTCCAGTGCTCTCCAGTGCTATCTAGAACATCCTAGTATGCTCCCAGTGCAATCCCAGTACTGCCTACAGCTTCTCAGTGCTGCCCAGTATCCTCCAAGGCTGTCTAGAACCTTATAATACAAATTCAGTCCCTCCCACTATTGTATAGATCCTCCACCAGGGCTTTCTAGCTCCCCAATGGTCCCTAAGGTTTTAGGACTAGAGCCTGTTCTGTGGCCCAGGAATGGAGGGCAGAAGCCCACCCTGACCCTGTCTACAACCCCTCAGTAACAGCCTGCTGTCCCCCAGGGGCTTCCCAGTACAGTTTAGAGCCCCCAGGGTCCTCTTAGCGTTCTGCCAGTGCTGTCTAGAACCTTTAGTACAAACCTTATGCCATTGAGTACCACCTGGAGTCCACCAGTGCTGTCTGTAGCCCCTCAATAACCTCCCAGTGCCCCCCAGTTCTGCTTAGAGACCCCAAGTGCACTCCCTGTGAAACCCAAATCTGCCTAGAGTCTCCCCAGCGCTGCCTGCAGCACATCTGCAGCCCCCTGCAGCAATGGGTAGAACTGGTGGTGATGGAGTTTGGCACAGGCTGAACAGGGATGGCCTGGGAGACCTCTCAGGCACTCGAGGAAGACCCCTGGGGGACCTAGAGCTCTGCAGGTGCATTTGGGTGCCCAAGAGCACACAAGGGTGGCCCTGGGAGGCCTCAAGGGTGCTTTGGAGGACATAAAGGAGCACTGTGGGTACCTTGGGTGCCTGAGAGCACACAGTGAGACACTGGGTGGCCCCTTGGGCACCAGGAGAGGCCTCTCAGATTCCCTGCCAAACTCTGCTGGTACTCTCAGACACCTGAAAGCACACAAGGGGCCTCGGGAGGCCACTCAGACACACATGGAAGCACCTCAGGCACCCTGGAACACACTGAGAAAACTCTACTGGTACTCCTGCATGCCCTTGAGGCCGCCTGGGGTCCCTCAGAAGGCTCACTGTGTGCTCCAGGGCACCTCAGAGGCCTCCCTGTACCCCTGCCTGTACTCTTGGGTGCCCAAGGGTACCCACAGTGCTCAAATGCGTGCTCCAGGGTGACCCAGAGGCTTCCCCAGATGCCCTAGAGGCCTGACAGGGCACTCTGGTGCACTGTTGGGTATCCGAGAGTCCTTGCAGAGCTCAGCGTACTGCAGGGCCTCCCCAGTTTGCTCCAAAGGCCTTCGCAGTGCGCCCTACAGGACGTGCTCCTCCTGGGGTGGAAGGTCTTAAGATGCATGAACACTGCTTTTACCCATCACAAAATGCAAAACAGTGCACATTAACCTTGCCTACTGAAAAGCTTGCTGGCTCAGAGAGCATCACACATGTTCTTCTACGTATCTACTTGGAAGATAGATATGAAATAGCCCCGGGTCACAATAGCTTTGGTTTTGAAAATCCTGTGCTACTTCTACTTCCTTTCTTCTGCTTTTAGCTGCTAATTCTGTATCAATTCTAAGCTCAGATTAAACCTATATTTGGCCTTATATGCACACAGAGCAGTTAATGGCAGGCTTGCAGCCTAATGAGCTGTGAGCTGGATCTCAGTGCTGCCAGCATAAGGCTTTACCTGGATTAGTGGGCTGACAACACAGCTATTCCTGTGCTCTTCTGCAGCAGCACAGCCCCACTGACCTGAACGTCCTTCTGTGATTTCTGGCTGCTCTGTTCCTCAGTGCATTAAGGTCAGTTAATCAATTAAGATTGATTACTTGTTCCTGACCTCAGGTTCCATACACTTATGTTGATTTTCCCCCCACAGCATTGCTCTAGCACAGGTTCAGAGTCCTTGGCACTGATTTCCTGAAGGAGACATTTCTTCCTTCCAATTCAGAGTCTTGAGGAAGAAATAATGATAGAACAAAACCAAATGGAAGTTCCACAGATGTGTGTTAACCAAACAGCAGTGCTTTAGGCTGCATCTATTGCTGTGATAACCTAATATGCCATACAGCTACCCAGCAAACCTGAACTATGCCACTGCACTGCATGGGTGCTGATGCCTAAGCCCAGTAACCACACCTCATTGCCAAGAGTCAGGAACCCCACACCAACCCAAGTGCTGCATTAGCAGGTGACTGCTAAGTAGTGCTTCTCACGAAATGCTAACCCACGTTGTTCCACACCGATGGATGGGTGACCTTCACCATGAAGTGGACAGAAGTTGGCAAAACCCCACCTCCATCCCTGCCCAGTGCCATCTCCATCACATCTCTTGGACACGACCCAACCAGTATCACTGGAAGCTTCACTGCTGCTCTTCCAGTCAGCCCCATCACTCCCCATTCCATTATCTGTGTGTAGCTTCCATTGAAGGCTGCTTCTCTCTCCTCCACCACCACTGTGATGAGGGTTCAAATAGAATGGCTGAGGATACAGCAATAATATAGGAAACCACACTGTTGGCATCTTCACTATCACCTTCCAAGGAGCCATATTTCTGCTGCAGTCTTCCTCCCTCCTACTCAGGACCACGACCAGCCCATATTACAGCAAGCTGAGAGCCCAGGCACTTCTTATCTGCTGAAGGCACCAGCCCAGGTGTGCAGTTACACAAACACATACCCTCGAGACACAGATGCACCTAGTGAAACAACAACATTTTGTCTTTATTAGGAGTTCCCATGGTAATATAACACAGAGTTCTTCAGGAATAAAACACAAGACTTGGGGTTGGGTGTTTTTTTGTTGTTTTTTCTTTTTTTTTTTTTTTTGCCATTGAGACAATGGTCAAATATCAGTACTTCTTTTTGTCTACACACATGATCAGCTTTAGCACTTACAGCTCCTCCACTCATGGTTCACAATCACAAATCCAAGGGTTAAATCCAGCTAGTATTAAATCCTACTTTTTTTTTTTAATTATTATTATTATTTTTAGAGCTTCAAGTCACTGCGGTTAATTAATTAAGTCATGTTTTTTTTTCTTTAAGCATTTACATATGACATTCAGTAAACAGACACAAAGCAGACGAGCTCTCACAGAAAAAACATGCTTACACAGCCTGCAAAAAATCTTTTTTTTGTGATTTTTTTTGCTTTTTTTTTTTCCTTTACCCTTTTGAAGAACAAATTGAAATCCAAAAGTCATCATGAGTCAATGAAGGAAAGTAAAAGGAAGACTTAAGTGAATACTGAAGAGCCGCGTGTGTTTTGTAGAATCGACACGGATCCCAATTTCTTTCTTTCTCTCCCCAACTCGTTCAGATTGGTTTTAACATACAGGTGAAAGATAGCTGCAATATATATTACGCTCACAGATTACGTCACAAAGTGCAAACTCTTATGCAAAACTAACCACCCAAGGGTTAAACCGAGATATAAAAGGCATGGATGAGTATGGCAATGTCTGAGCTTTGATGTTCAAAGGGGCCTATGGGAATTGTGCTGGGAGGGGTTGGGTACCTACATTGCTCCCAGATCCTTTGACAATCCCAGCGTTGCTACTGCATCACAACAAATTTGGTAGTTGCTTCTTAAAAGCCTTCTCATATATAGTTTTTCATTACAAGAACCTGTGAACACCATTTAAGAAAATGCTCACAAATAGGGAAAATGAGGTCCGTGCACATGGTGAAGGACAAACAGAAGAGAAAGCAGAAGACATAGCCAAGCACCAGGGCTACAGACAGTGGAGGTAATGCTTTGTTAACTGTGGGTAGAAAAGCTCTCTGTGCTCAGAGACAGTCCAAGCCCTTGGGACCATCAAGCCCTCCAGCGAAGCGTAAGTGGGACTCTAACAGTGCAGATTTATGCTCCACGTCCTGAAAACCTGAAAACACGAGCCTCCAATACTAGGGCTAAAGGACCTCTAAGTCCTGGGTTTAAATCATCCTGATGATCAATGATTAATTGGAGGACCACTCCTACCCTCTGGTTTCTCAAACCTGAGGCACATACCCGAGCAGGGCCGGGGTCTTCTCAGGAATATTTGCAGAAAGGCAGATCCCTGAAGGAATGACAGACTGAAATTTGCACATGGATGAGAGATTCTCAGCTGCTGTTGACCCATCGAGCTGCTTGGAGGATCCCAGTTACAACAGCTGGGCATCTGGACGCTAATTGGAATTGCCACAGATGCTCAGGCATGCACACAACAGAGCAGCCTTCCAACAAGAGCTAAAGATAAGCTCTCAGAGTTTTAAATAACCACTCATTAATGGCCAGGAAAGGGGATGTGGCTGCTACAGAAATCTTTCAGGCAAAGTACTGCCCATTGCTTATGGCCCTCTGCTTACTGGCTGCTACCTGTGGGAAATAAACCAACTGCTAAGAGCTCCTCAGAGGCTCTGCCCAGCTCTGCAGCTGGCGTCCAGCCCTGGTGTTTGCACCAGCTCAAGACCTAGTATGCTGAAGTGAAGATCATAGCTTACAAACCTGCACTGCTAGCTCCTATTGCAGGTAAGTGGGAAGAATTGGCTGGAACGATGCATCCTAGGAGCACCCAAAGTAAAGTACCAAAGGGGCAGTGACACTGGTGGGGTCAGTAATTCGAATGAGGCTCAGGAAGGAGCAGGGAGAACTGGGAGATGCCCAGTTCTGAGATAAGGCTTTGTAAACACGATGAGACGAACGTATTAAAAACACACACAGACGTTTAAAAAAAAAAAAAAAAAAAAGGAAAAACTCCTCAAGGACCTAATTTGCAGCAGAATCAGGAAGGAAAAAAAAAAAAAGGAAAAAAACCCCAACAGAACAAAAGTCTCCAACAGTTCTAGCTCACCCGATGGCAGGGTGCCATGTGCTCTGTCAGCTCCTAGTGCTGGGTCCTGGTTCTCCCTCTTGGCAGCAAACAGCTATTCTGTGGCCTCAGAGGTGGTGGTGGGGAATGGTGCCAGACTGGGATTCGCAGCCCTCTGTGTTCTCCTAGCTATGCTGCTGGAACACAGAACCCTAAAGAACATCCAGTTTATAACCCTTGAACTACTCTTCTGCTTGACATCGGGAAAAAAAAAAAAAAAAAAAAAAAGCTTTTTGTTTACATTTAAAATTTATTTATTCTTTTTTCTTTTCGTCTGTGTCTTAAAGGCAGCTCCGGGGAAATTCACTTTATCCTTCCTTTATTAAAAGAAAGATGCTGAATGGGACATAGGCCACATATCTCAAACACCCTCTTCACATTTCCTTTTGCATGTCAGAGGTGTCAAAACAGGGTTGGTTGTTTTTTCATTAAACGTGTAGGGGCTGACAGGGAAGTGAGAGGGGTTGGTGAAGATGAGGAGGGAATCTGAGGGGACCGAAAGAGGCGCATTACTTCAGCCCCCCCCACATTGCCCGCAGTAACCATCACAGGCTCTAAAAGAATCAAAAAGGGTCTCCAGGTGCCCCCATCCCCTCCCCTGGTCCGCTGGGCGGGCGGAAGGGGTCGGTCCTTAACCCAAGCTGGTGATGTTGGCACGTCCGCCCGGCGGTGCCACGATGCGCTGGGTGGTGCGGCGTGGGATGTTGTCGTCAATCTGTGCACCTGTGGGAGACAGGAGGGATGCTGGGTTCACCATGGAGACCGTGTGAGATGGAAGGGGTCTGGAACAGGTTGCCCCATCCCTGCAGACCCCCATGGATGGGGCTGCTCTGAGCACCTGATCGAGCTGTGGGTGTTCACTGCAGAGGAGTTGGACCACACAGCCTTCCTTCCAACTCAAAACATTCTATGAGCAAAGTACACTGGTTTCCAGTGCCTTAATTCTGCTGAAATCTGCTCTGCATTGATACTACCACACTGAACACAGGCACCCAGCTTATGCAGATGAGAACTGGCTAAAAGCTTTTCCCTTCGCAAGCCCCTCACTATCTCCAACTTTCCTTGTTGCTGAGCCTCTTGCCCTGTAACACACGGCTGCTTTTCTTAGTCTACTTGTCCTGACCCTGTTAAGACACTTGTGTCCTGTCCAAACGATTCCACCCTCACTGCATGGAGAAATCCACCTGCTGCATGCCAGACCCACAGCTGCTCTCAGCTGGCAACTGGCACTGGTGCCATCAGCCCTGCTCACACACCCAGCTGACCACTGAGCTATAGGGAACACAGCATTCAAGAAAATAAACAGGGCTCTATGAAAGCTCTTATACAAGAATACGTACCAGACAAGCTAAAGCCAGACTGGTGCAGGTTCCTCACGGGTGGAGCTTGCTGTTTGGCAGGAGATGTTTTAGCTGAAGATGCAGGAGTGACTGTCTTCGGCGTCACCGACACTTCGCAGACCGGCCCATCATAGAGACCTCGAGGCACACCCCGCAGCTCAGCCAGCTGCAACACACAGCAGCAGGGAGCTTCAGGGTCAGATAGCCTTCAGAACGGCCCTAAACAGCTGGCCAGATGTTGCTAAGCCAAAGATGCATATTTCAAGATTCATCTCTACTAAGACAATTTGAAAGCAAACAGGATCTTCCTTTCCTTTCCATTCTTTCTGTTCCCCTTTCCTTTTCCCCTTCCTTTCCTCTTTCCTTTTCCCCTTCCTTTTATGAAACCAACCTGCTGTTGTATTAAATGCTTCTGGCCACTCTCAAGAGCTTATTACTCCTACCCCAGAAGAAAAGCCATGCTGCTGCAGAGCAGAGCTGCACAAACAGAAGCCAGGCCGGCTTCACTTCTTCAGCTTCAGAGCTCTACACTGGGTTAAACATAATTATTCCAGCTGAGATACTGCCCAATTGGATTTATAGGTCAAACACACTTTCTGCAGGAGGGCAGAACACAACAGAAACTACAGATCTGTTCTCCCCATTGCTGAATTATTTGTGTTTGTGATCCTGGTAACTTGTAATTCATTCAACAGAATAATTAAGGAAAAATCTGCAAGGGATGAGCAGACTGCCTGTGGTCAGCAAACCAAAACAGCTCTGGTTTCGTCCAGGAGAGGGCAATACTTCAGACTCTGAAACATCTCAGAAACCTGACTTTGTCTGGAAATAAACTTCTCAAATCCCCTGCAGTTCATTTGCAACTGATTTTAGCATTAGCTTTTCACCAACTAAAGGCATATCAGAAGGCAATCTGTTTCGAATGGGTGTATTTTAGCCTCTTAAAAATAGAAATGTTCCCACTTTTAAGCAGTCGTGGGCTGTGCCTGTGACTCACCAGTCACCAGACAAGAGCATCTGATTGTACCTGACAGAAGGGAAAGGAGCATCTTTAGCAACAAATCAGAATGCTAAACTGTTGCTGGAAGGTTTGATGCATAATTGCTATCAATATCAGTACGTTCTGTTGGTAATCTGCAGATTGACTCAAATCCAATCCAACCAGCTCTCACTCTGCCCAGGGGTCTCTAAGATAGCAAAGAATTACAGAGCAAAAGGAACAAAATTTACAGAAAACCCAATCTGAAGTCAACGTGGTGACTCAAGTGAACAGCAGAAATGAAAGAGGAATGAGCTACACATGGCTCCTATCCAGGCAACGTTTCCTCTTGCAAAGTGCACGCACTGAGCCAGGCACAGCCTCTGCTTTCCACCCACTTCAGTTGGGGAGTTCCAGTGGGACAGCTGCTGCACTCACCCTGCTCCTCGCTTTGATGCGCTTGTAAACGAAGTCAGGGAATGGTTTCCTGGGGATGTACCGCCCAGATCCCTCCGTTACGTGGAGATTCCCATCCTCCAGCACGATCTTCCCTTGGCTGATAACCACCAGGGGAGACCCACGGCACTCCATGCCTTCAAAGATGTTGTACTCCAGAGACTGGAACAGACAAAGAGGCAGCGTGAGGCCAACATTCACGCCAGCAAAGCCCAGCAATCAACCGTCATGCTAATTCCTCAAAGCCTGGAAGCAAAACCAATAGCATTTACCTCAGTTGTACACACAGTGCTTCAACAGAATTCGTTTTAAATGAGAATACTTTCAAGCATACCTGGTTGAAATGGACGTCAGCACATGCCTTCTCTGCACTGCATGAGATTTAAGATTAAATTAAGTTTAATCTGAGTTTCATATTAAAAATGATGGCTATTTTCAAAGACTGTACCTGGAACCAGAGTTCTGGTTGATGGGTCAGGGACCAGGACAATCTTTTTACTCTAATGGGATTGCTCATCCTCAATTAATAGGATTTGAAACACTATACCATAGAAAAAAAAGAGAAGTTTTAAAGGAATTGCTGGTAGATGTCCCACCCAAGAAGGGTCCTGGAAGGAGATGCACTACAACCAGGCTATTTGGGGACTCTTACTCAGGCAACCAGCTCTGAGAGGAATCCAAGTCTTTTTCACTGAGTTAATGATGGAGTTGAACCTTGAAGTGTGTTATAAGTATGGGTAGGCCTGACTGCAGATTTACAATTAGCTAGAATGGTGGTTAAACCGACAGCAAACCAGTTCCAGTATGAAAAAAGTTGTGGTGGCAAAGGAGGAGGCTTGGTTAGAAACTTATGAGTTAGGCTGTTCCAAGAAAAACACCATCTCCCCCTCCAGCTCCTAACGTTTCCTTGCCAGACAGTGGCAACAGCAGTGTGAATTCTTGGAAAATGTTTGCATGTTGCTCTAGCATTAAAAAATGTAACAATCATCCGATGCCACATAATCAGTATGTCTCCTTGTGTCGTGGCAACAGCTCTGCCTGACTTTCAAAGGGCTTTTGTTTTATCCTTGTGATTTAAATAGGATGCCTTGACTCTACAGGCATCACTCCTCTTACTTCACAGTGTGTGAGATGCACTGCAGGAGCTGCAGTGGGGATCTGCAGTCACAAACAACTTCTGAGGAGTGGCCTCAAGATCATACAATCATGGAATCGTTAAGGTTGGAAAAGACCATGAAGATCATCTATGCCTGCTGGTCCTTCAGCCTGGCCCAGACATATGGCAAAATGAGGAGGTGATGAGCGGTTGGTCCCGATTGTGCTGGAGAACATCTGCAAAAGATACCTGAATTTTGTGTTAGGAAATGTTGAAGGCTCCACTTCCTAAAAAACAACAGCCATTAAAATGCAGTAGCTGTCAAATATTCAATCCAGCAAGCTCCTTCCAGCTCTCAGACCTCGTCAGCTCCCATATGCACAGACTCAGGTTTAGACCACTAAATCCAGCACTCTGTACATGAGCAAGTTGTCTCTCCTCAGACTGAATGTGATGAGTCTGGAAGAACCTCAAAAGCAAGCAAGCTTCTGAGTCTGGATGCCTGTGTTAGACGTTACGCACAGGTAAAATGAATCCAGGCCATCTGTGCCCAATTCTGACACAGAGTTAAGTCACAGGAAAGCAAACCAAACCTTTTTTTTTTTAAAAAAAAAGGTTTCTTTGTGAATGTGCCCAGGGATCCAAGTGTGGAAGAAAATTTTGCTCCTTCAGCTCCGGAGTGAATGAAAGCATTCATGGAAAAAAGAACAAGGAGTTTTTTTCCAGGGAAACATTCCATAGGTTCATCGCCAGCAGTGAAACAAGTTGTCAACAAAAGCAAACACGGGTTGCTTTCTCTGAGACAGAGCTAAAATGTCACAGGGAGACTCCAACTGGTCCATGTGTGGGGACAGGGCTGCTGTTTCGTGCAGGCTGGGATGGTTCTTGCACTGCAGGAGCCAGGTGTGAGGTCTGGGACACTGCTGTGGGCCACAAACCTCCAACAGTGCCACCATAAAGAGACAGGGAAAGGGCTGCTTAGTTTGAGAGCTGCCCTGTGCTTCTGTGCCAGCTAATGTTGGGATGAGCAGCAGGAAAATCATGTCTGACTCCACACATGTATTCCCTATGGCTTCTCTCAGCTAATGGTTCCTGCCATGGGTTCTTCTCAACTTCCCTCATCCTCATGGATATTCACCTACTTCAGGGCCTCCACCACACCACTAACCCTGCTTCTCCATGCTCCCAAGGTGCAGGACATCTGCACCAAAGCCTGAAGCTGCCAGAAGCCTGCAGCAATCAGGGACAGATTAGTGCTCAACGTAAATCCACTCAGACTCACTGACCTGGATCAGATCTCCAGAAAAGGTGTCTGGGAGTTGATGTGCTTCACTGGGAAAGGCACAGTCCTCATTCCCAGTGCTGCTGAGCCAAAAGATCATCAGTGACACATTGTGATGTGTAACCTTCTGGTGTTTTAAAAGACTCAAAGAGCTTTCTGCGTGCTCAGATCCACACGTCTAACACTCAGAAGCTCTTTGCTTTGAGAGGAATATCTGGGTGTTCATGTGATTTCAGCTTTGGACTCACACAGCTGAGCTGTACTGGGTGTAAGACCACAAAGTGCCTGGGGCAAAGGTTTAAAGAAAAATAAATTAAGTTTAAAAGCCCTCAGTTGTCACAGGCTCTGGTTCCTATCAGCACAGTCTGAAGAAGAGAGAACAAAACATGCAGGAGAAATCACATCATAGAGAACATCCTTACTATGTTGTGGGTCTTGGCAGAGATTGTCTTGACGCTGTCAGGATCCCAGATAACCAAATCAGCATCAGAGCCCACAGCAATACGGCCCTTCCGTGGGTACAGGTTGAAGATTTTAGCTGCATTTGTGCTGGTCACAGCCACAAACTGGTTCTCATCCATCTTGCCAGTCACCTGCAGAGAGATGGAAGGAGGCACTGCATCAGCCAGGATGGGACGACTATGGAAACCAGCCCCAGGGCTCACAAGAGCTCCTTCTCCAGCCGTAATACAACCAGTCCATGATGTGTGACATACCACAGCCTTGTCCCAGATGATGGACATCCTCTCCTCAGTCCCGTTGGTTCCCTCAGGGATTAGGGTAAAGTTGTCCTTCCCAACAGCTTTCTGAGCAGTGTTGAAGGTGCAGTGGGCACTGCCAGTAACTTGGAGGTCTCCGCTGGAATAAGGTAACGACAGATGGGTTTTGTGTTGTCACAGCCTTTTGCTAGCTGGCAACAACCACTATTATCTTTAATAATCGCTCGTCTCATGATGAGACACATCTTGTAATGAACACAAAGAGCTATACTCACCAGGACAGCAGTGAGTTGAGGAAATCAGGAGTGGTTGGGTCAGGACTCAGTGGCGGGGAAGTGACAAAAGCGGCCGCCTTCGCCCAATTCTTGCTCCAGTAATGAGATCCATCAGTACCCAAGCTGGCTGTGATGGGCTCCCCGTACACCACAGTGCCTACAAGAGAGGAATACAGGCAAACCCACTGTAACTGCTGAGCAATGTGCATCTCTAACCTGGCTTCCAGGAGCAAAGCCTCCTTCTGAAAATGAATGTTTCCAAACCTTTACATTACTCAGTTAATAATAAAGATATTGCTACAGATAAAAGCATGGAGCAGCAAAAGATGCCTGCTGTATTTTTATAAACACACATGCAATAAAGATCTAACAAGGCTGGGTTTATTGCAGCAGGCTCTGTGCACAGATCAGATAAGAGAAAACTCGTGTTAGAAAAGCTTACTGCCTAAAGAGAAAGCACAGCACTGAGAGGAAGCATCAGTGTTTCTGGTTCCTGAACGCAGCTCAGGAAAACTAATGCTCCCAATGGTTCAGGATAAAACTGTGGCAGAACCAGAAAATGAAATAGGATCTTCTGACTCTCTGTCCAGTGCATTAACCACCAGTGCACCCCTCCTCTTCATTAACATTTCTGGAACCACATGAAGGAAGAGCTGATCTGTAAGGCCACGATTCTTTGCATGCTGGAATACAGCAGCACATCTGCACACCAAGCAGATGCAAGGCACTGCGACTTCAAAAGCAGCACAGGCTGCAGCCCCATGGGTCTGCTCACCAAATGAAACCCTCCCCAAACCCCTGCAAAGTGTCCATCTGGCTTCCGAGTCCAGACTCCCCATGCATTCACAACAGCCTGCAAAGGATGCGGGTTAAGTCAGAACCAAGGCAACCCAAGAATGGGTCAGCAAGGTCTTGCACAGCTCACCATGCAGAGCACAGAAATACTGTCCACCATGCTGTCCATATCTCTGAATGGGAAAGAGTGTATCAGCTGAGGCTGAACAATGCATGAGGTGCCTTCATTCCAGAACCCACAACACCAGAGGAGTAGGATCAGTGTGACCAGAGGGGAACCACCAGCAAAGGAAGGGGCTGCCTGACATAGCCTGTCCCAAATAGGGTTATGAAACCAGAACAAGGCAAAAAACACACGCTGCCTATTAATGGGAGGCCTGTTGTGGGCCAGGACATTGGGAGGATTGTTCTGCAGAGAATGAGCTCCAAGATCTGCCAGCGATGGAGTCTGCGGGGAATCTCCTCCATACAAATGCCACTGGGAGCATCTGGCTTTAAATAACAGCCGTTCTTTTCCATCTAGCCAATCAATTCTGTTCTGTTTTTGCTTTGGATAGTCCTCAGCTATGCTTCCTCTGTTGCTTGGGAAGGCAAGGATGATGTGTGTGGCCCTCCTGGGCTATCCAGCTGGGTAATTGCACAGCATTTAAATTGAATTATTTGAATAAAGGAGCAGAGAACGGCGTGCCATTTATACCCCTAATTCTCCTTATAAGGAGAAAACGCAATCTGAAGTCAGCTTCCCTGGCCTATAGGATTAAGTTGCACAGACACATCAAGTTGTTTTTTGGGGTAATGCAACATGCAGCCACTTTGCCATGTCAACACATCTTCTCATTTCAGTATGATCTCCACTATAATGGAGCTAGGGGAGGAAAGTTCATCCAAAACAGTTTGAACTGCTTCCACATCACGAACAGAGAGAGATGCCTTGGAGATCAGTCCCCTTACCAGCTCTGAACTTTCTGAACAGGAATCATGGGATCAAAACACTCCTGAGCTAATACACACACACACACAAGCCTGTTTGCTGCAGTAGGAAATCAGCTCCTCGAGCACCAAACACCCAGATGGAAAGTGATGTCATCTGTGTATCTGCTCAGGCTTACTGAGACTGCATACAATTAAACACAACCCTTCCAAGGAAAGGAGGGGAACCATCATCCCTCATGCTTACTCACCCACCCAGAACCACTTTAAATAGAAAAGAAGGGTTTAGTTACAGAAGAAGGGAGACAGGCACTCACTGTGCTCTGCAGCCTCTGCTTCTTGGGGACAAGGCAGCATGGACAGGACCTGGAGGAGCTCCTGCACCACTCAGAGCAGTACAGCTCCCTCATGGACCTCACCATGAGAAGCAGCATTCAAGATGTGGGTCCTTCCTGCAGCATCCTTAGAGGTAACAGGAACTCCCAGCCAACCCCAAACTACCAATCCTAATTCCTGCTTGGATGCCAGGCTGTGAGCTACAGCACCAGGAGCATCTTTTTCACAAGCAAAGAGCTGGAATTGGTAATCACATCAGCTACCCCAACCAATTCCAAGAGGGCCCACAAGTCACAGAGCTCCATCAGAACTCCTGGAATCGTTCTGACCCCAGAAGCAGCTCAGCAGGAAGCAGTAAGGGAACAGCACAGGAGCTGGAGAGAGGACACAGCTTGCTGTCTCCATGGAGATTTGTCAAGCAGGGAATTACTCTGTGATAACACGAAGGCACATGGCTCAGTGTAGTGGGATGGGTGCGAAGAGGCTGAACAGAAAAAACAGCTTCTGGCACTGACAGCGATCCCTGAATACTTCTCTGCAGGAGATGAGACAGAAGCAGTTGCTTGGGACCTTTTGAACAACGGCCTGGACAGTAACACTGGAAAAAGAAACTTCTCCTGTAGGGGTGAAGCTTATGTTGGCAAGGATTTGCACGGAATGAGCTAATAGGTTGCTTCCATCCAAGGGTAATAACTTACCCTTTTTCCTGGCTTGAGCAATGACTTCAGCAGCACTTTTGCTCATCACCTTGGTGATATAGAGAGGGCAGTTGGTTTGGTTGGCGATGGTGATTGCCCGGTTCACAGCTTCTGCCTCCACCTGAGAAACAAAGTCAGCAAATTAGCAACATCCCTGCGTGACAGCATAACCCATCCTCCTTGCAGGGGAAATCAGGGTGTGCAGGAGTGAGGTGAGCTCCCACCTCTCCAAATCTGAGCCAGAAAAATGTACCATGTAATCAGGATAATTAAGATGGCATCAAGCTACACTCCCCTCTCATTACTTCCTTTCCTCCCAGGCGGCTTCTGAATCTCTCTGCAAGCAGGCTAAGTCCTAAAGCAACCCCCCAGGTGCTTGGGGTCAGTATGGTTAAGCCCCTCCTTTAACCTAAGCAAAAATAAGCAACTAAATGTTAGCTCAGCAGAACTATTCGTGTTCCAGCCCACACGGAAGAGAGATGCTGTAGCCACATATTCTGGTAAGCCACGTTTGCAAGCAAGCCTTCTAAATTGTACCCTCCACTACGATATCTGGCTTGGGATCTGACAGAGCATGAACCACCCCATAAATCAACCACTTTGATACTCGTAGGGAGAGCCTGAGCAAGGCTGAGGCACTACATGCTAGCTGCTCCTAGAATTAATGCAATCAGGAGTTTCCCAAGTCACATATCCTAATCAAAGCAGTCCAGCTGACAAACTTAATGAGAGGAATTCTCATAGTGCTGACTACTATGAAGAGCTGCAATGCCATGGACATCTTCCATGCAAAGGAAAACCCACAGCAACCAGGCACCTGACTTCCAAAAGGAACCCCCCCCAGGGCTGGCATGTGCTCAGCACACTGGAGATCTGCTCTGCAGTGCTTTGTCTCAGGTCACACTCAGCCAAACACCATCAGCCCCAGAAGCAGAACACAGCAGCTGCTGGGCCATGCACTGGAAGGAGCACCTGAACTAAAGGAGCTGGCAGCTGAATTTGGCACATGGATGCCCAACCAGCTTCCCAAACCCAGCAGGGTTAAAGGGTATGGCCTAGGCCTGTCACCACTACACGGCTGGTGACAACCTTCCCTAGAGAGTGCTGCTGCCAGAACAGGGACATTTCTGGCCCAAAAGGGACAGATTACAAGGAAGGCTGTTTTCTCCTCAAGGTTCCACAGTCAGCAGCAGGAAAAGGGAAGGCTGAAAGGAAGAGCAAAGAAAAGCTTGATTGTTCCTCCTGAGAAGCAAAGAGCAACGTCAGATGGGCTGATGTTCCCAATGGCATCAGTTTGCAGGCACACGCACTGCTCCTCTGCTGCAGCACTCACATTTCCACCCCATGCTTCAGTTTCCTCACTTGCAAACAGGGATAAAACAACACCCAGCTCTGCAGCTCTGACCAAAATGCCTCCAAGCAGCTGCTGAGCAGGAAGGGGATCATTTCTGCCCAGCAGAAAACGAGGCTGCTGAATTCCTGCCTTGTGCCCAGATGCTATGGTGACAGGCACATAACAATAACCCAGCGACTAGTCCAAAGGGGAATGTTTGCAATTACCAGCACGCATCAGAAGCCCTAACACAGCAGTTCTCCTGAAAAAAAAAAAAAAAAAAAGAAAGAAAAAAGAAGACAGACATTTCCTGGAGCGCTTGGACCGCTCGGGCTTTCGGCGTTCTTGTGGCTGAAACAGAAACAGCAAAAAAAGTGACGGATGGCTCTGAGAAGTCATCACAGAATGATCTGCTCTGTGAGGCTGGGAGCTACAGAAAGTGATGGGTGATGCTGCCTTGGGACAGGGGTGGCTTTGTGAAGGATGGGACCGAGGGCTGGCTGTGACACCAGAGCCAGCAGCAAAACGCAAGGCTCCATTCGTGCCTCCTGCCCAACCTGCAGGCTCACAAGGGGCGCAGGACGTGGCCTCAATCAGCCAACGTAAACAGCGCTGCGTGGTTTGAAAAACACAACAGGGAAAAAGGAGGGGAGGGAACCAGATGACATCGCTTCCTGCTCTGTTTCCTATGACTTTAAAGGAGGAGAATGTGGGCTGAGAGCTTCCACCCTGCGCAGACGGCACAGCTGAGCTCAGAGCTGCCCAGCTGCTGGGCCATGTGTCCTGGGGCAGCCCTCCTCACCCCAGCACCACCAACACATTCCTGCACAGTGCAGGAGACAGATGGAGCACCAAACCCGAGCCAGGGGAGCACATGGTTCATGCTTTGAAGCTCCTGCTCTGCTAATGATGGTCTTTGAAGCAGCCAGACGAGACTGGGTTAATTTGACGAGATAGGAGCAGCCTTTCTTAAGTCCACTGCAGTTATGGGGTGCTCTGCAGATGAGCCCTTAAGTGTCAAGTCGGCATCTGTTCCTGCTCTCCTGATGCAAGGCAAGAAATATGTCCCACTGAAAAAAAATGCAGGAGTGGGTGGAAGGCTCGGTGTGTGAGCTCACAACTTCCAGGAAGCAAGAATCCCAGCTCCTGAGGCCAAGCAGCTCTGCAAGGGCTCAGCCCAAGCTGAGAGCGTTCCCTTCTCTCTGCCTGCAGCAGCTGAATGATTTATGTTCCTACTGAAATGCCTTTGGATGCTGCTTGTCTGAACCAAGGGGAGGAAACTGAGGGAGCATGAGGGCACGTGCAGATGATCTCACACATCCAGCTTCCAGCAGGACCACATCTGGCAGGCAGCACAGCCCCATTATCTTGGGGGAACAGAGATAACTTATGGTGTGTAAGCACACAGATGGACATCCCAAACCTCGAATGCAATGGTAAGGTACTGAGCTCAGGGACACGAAAAGAAGGGAAACAAAGAACCAAACTGAAAGGGCAACCTGTGAGTTCTTTCCTGCTTTTCACATTATTTCAAGGACTTAGAGAGAATGAGATAAATAGGATTAGGGTGCTCAACCCCAGAGAAGCTGAGGGGTTAGGGGTGCTGAAGTGCTTGCTAGGACCTGAAACTTAGCTCCCCTCTCCGGTACACATTTTCTGTGCCTTCAGTACATCATTTGGGTCCCTTGTTGTAAAAAAAAAAAAATAAATCCACCATCTGTACAACATTCATCTAACAATCAAATACAACAGAAGATACAAGTGTCTAAAACAGTGTCACTGTTTTAGATACCTTATGTGAAAGCACCTTCCCAGACCCTCTCCAAAAGCCTACAGAAAGAGATGAGCATTTCCAGAGGGTGAATTAAACCTTAGGGTGGAAGAATTGTTCCCTGAAAGCGCTCCTCTCCCCAGCAGAAAAGCTGAGAGGGGTTCCTCAATTTCTCATAAGTACCCACTGTAGTTAAGGCAGCAGTTAGAAGGGAACAGTTACTGGTTATTTAGTAGGAGTTAGTCCCAAGAAGGGTCCTTGCCTTCTCCCTTATCCTATACAACAATACTGCCTATAGCCAGGATGAAATCCTACTTCTGGCCACATCCATCCCAATGGGAGCTCCCCAATGATAAAGGTAAAGGCATCCTCACCTCTTCGGGTCTGCTCAACACGTGCCCTTCAGGGCCTGTGATTCCCAGCTCCAGGATCCTTTGCTGCTCCTAAGGCAGATTAAAAAAAAAGAGCAGAAAAAACAAGATTTAAAGCAATGCGCATCATTCTTGCAGCAAACACAGCTGTTTGAAAGAGGTACAAGCGAGATCCTGAGCATCTGTCCTAGTTAGTGGTCACATGGGGTTTTGCATGAGGGCCTTAGAACCAGAGTTCTGTCCAATATGCACTGGTGAGAATAACCAGAGCTCTGCAACAGCCCAGCTGATTTGCTCACAGGAGCTCGGGGAAGCCTTGTATATTAATTTGCTTCACAATGGGTTCACAGTCCCCTCAGCTTTCACTGCTCATTCACGTCTATAAAATGGACTCGCTACAATGTCAAAAAACAGCATCTCATGGCAACATCATCCAGCGACTGCAGGCAGCTGGGCTCAAAGACTCAGGTGGTCTTCTCCCCACTGAGACAACGCAGAAACCCTTTACAATGCCACACAAAGAGGCACAACGTGTAAAACAAGCTGCAGATCAGATTAAATCCAATTAGTAACGCTTCCTCTTTGTGGCTATTTCAAGGATTCCAAGCATCAGCATCCCAGGTACTACATGAACTTGTTTTCTTTCTCTAAGTTATTGCAGAACATTTTTCTGCATGCAGTAGCAGTCACAGCCAGGCTCAGTCTTTCAGTTATGGGCAGAAAGGCAGAGGTGGCCAACAGCTGCCCCAGAAACCTGACTTATCCCTGACAATGAAGGGAATGACATTCAATGCACAGCTCTACTTGCACCCTTGACACAGCTGCGCTGTGCTTTTAAGTGGCTCAGAGATATCCTGGTTGCAAAGAGGGATGTTGAGTTCAAACCTCTCCCAGCAGTTTGAAGCTGATAATCCACAGAATAAACAGAACGTACCTCGGCAATGATGTCACCATTCTCAGCATGCACTTGAGCTGTGGCACCAATATCCCGGATAACACTCAGGACCTCATAGATCTGAAAGAGGGAGAATACACATAACAATATACACCAGATCTGTGGTCTTCAGCTGTACATTCAACCTCCTTTAGCATACAGAATTTGTCAGAATGGAGGAGAGATTTCCCACTCTGCAATGAGTCTGAGAGGGATCAGGTTGACTAACCCACAACTGATGCCTGCTCTGTTAATGGCCGCTCATTAAAATACTCACCAGAGTCATTAGAGGTAACTGTCATCCACCACTGCCTCCCACACGGTTCCAAATGACTCCCAGGCATTCCTCTCCTCCACCACATTTAGAAATATAAGCTATCCGTCTCAACAACTAGCTGTGCTCAGATGGATCCGCTGGAAGGGCAAACAGGAGGGCAGTTCCTTTCTAAGGACCCAGTGGTTCCAACAGCACAGCCCCAAACCCAAATCCGGACCAGGATGTGTTTGTAAACTGAAACTCATACCAATAATCTCATTGTCCTACCCTGTATTGATGCAAAAAGCAGCAATTTATTAAACTGCCACCGCTTCCACACGAAAGGAGTTGGGATAAACCCTCTGTTCCCTCAAAATGAGTTTTACCATTGCTGTCCCTTAGCCAAGACTTGAAAGAATTCTTCGAGGCAGAGCTCTGGATACTGTTACAAACCTCAGGTACTGTTACACATACAAAGATAGAAACCAGAAGAATGCTAGATCCAAATATAGTGAATTTAAACCCTGATAGAGGCTGATGCACTGATCCTTCCTACCTGGGAGTCAGACAGCTGGAAGCGGTCTTTGAAAGCCATGTAAACCAGGAAGGAATTCACACCTAGAAAGAGAGCGAAGGAACTGTCTTTAGCATACAGACTGCAGGCACAGATAAGGCTACAAAAACAGACATCCCCCTCCATCAGCCCCTTATCAAGCAGTAATTACAGATACATAAATTACTTCAACCTGCTATGAAATGCATGCACGTGGTATATAATGCTCTCTTAGCAAATTGGTGTGAAGGCAGTGAAACTACAAGCAGGATGGAAAATGTCTCAAGCCTAAGGATGAAATATCATGGAAATCACAGATGGGAAAGCCTGTGAGGTCGCTTAATTCAGCTCTTCTGACCCTGATTCTTCCTTTGTTTCACATCTGAAGTGATCACCTACCTGCATGCATGACACAGAGCATTTGATTTTCAAGTTCAAGCTGATGGGTTTCCACTGAACAAAGGTGCTCCTCAGCATGGGAGCAGCCAAAGGCTCACCCCTGTACATCAGTGCTCCCCACAACAGAGGGACAAGATAACAACAGGGCCTGATGTCGTGAGGATGTAAGGATAAAGCACATCTGAAAAGCCAGTCTTCGAACATAGGAAGGAATTCTGAAGAATAAGGAGGGGAAAGTCTTCCCTCAGCTTTCTCTGACTGCACGTACCGTGGTCTTTAACCAGAGCTTCCATCTCCTCCTGGACGCCTTTGTGCCACTCGGTGATGTCCACGTGCAGGGAGTAATCGCAGCAGGATTTGCTGTCTGCCCATTCTCGCCACTGGTCAAATGCAGTCAGCAAACTGGTCCCCGGCTCAGGAACCACATGATCAACTGGGAAAGACAACAAAAACACCAGTAAGCTGCTGTAAAACCATGGCATCCCTTTTACCCCTTAGGATATGAGCTGGTTTTTGCTCCACATCCCAAACAAGAGGCGGTGCAAAGTGAAGAACAAGCAGGACCAACAGCCTGTCCTGAATGCTGACACAGCCCTGCTGCCATCCCTTCAGTCTGATTTCAGCCCAGCACATTGGGTCTGACAGCACCCAGGCTCATAGGCACCAGTCCTACAGAACCACCTCAAATGGTAACTGAGGGGATTTGGTAATGATGTCTCCAGTTTCTGAGGTGTGTAAAGGCTGGACAAAGGCGAGAGGATTACCCACACCAACCCTGCAAAGTTACCCGCTCCCTCTCTGCCTTTTACATGACAGCTAGCAAACAGCTGTTCAAATATTTGCTTTTTTCCAAAAGGCCATGCCTGCCCCTCAAAGCACTGCTCTGGTTTGCAAAGGGAAGGATGTGACACGCAGCTCTTTGTCCATGTACCACTGGCACAGCTGCAACTTGCACCAATGGGGGCTGAAGGGTTCAGGAACAGAGGACTATATCTGCTCATGAGGATACAGGCTTCTGCCCATTAAAGAAATCTGTGCTATGGGTGAAAGCTCTGACATTTGCTTGGCATCAGCTCACGGATGTCGTTTTCATCACCTCTGGGAAAATGAAGCCAAACCCAGCTGACAAACAATCCTGCTGTTGGAAAAACCATCCGATTTCTCCTCCACCAGCTCCTCCTCTCCAATGGTCAGAACCCCTCCACGAGCTTCCAGACTGAATTGTTTCCTGGCCACTCTGCAGCCCATTGTCACTCTGCCAAAGTTAATCTTCAGCTTAAACAGTACGAACAACAAGGAGAAAAATAACATTCCCTCTGCATTACCAAAGGGACATGGAGAAAACCCAGGTTTGCAGACATGGCCCAGTCTTAACACAAGAGCTGTCTTCCTCAGCCTGCTAACTAATTAAAAAGCCAAAAAAATCCCATTTAATCTCAACAGCACCACAGTCATAAATCCCTCTCTGCTCAAACGAGAAGTGCTGTAAAAGTGCTTTCAGCCCCCAGACAACACATGGCCTATGGACATTAGGGAATTCTGCCTGAGGGCAGCAAGGGGTTAACACTATGGTCTCTGCAGCCCAACACAGAGTCCCTAGGACTGGCTCTGGTGTTTAGGATCAGAGCTTTATCACCATCCCATTTCATGTGCTGCCCAAGTATGACTAATGGGAGTTAGAGGAGAGAGTGGGGGAAAGGGACCTCTACCAGACTACAGCTCTACAGCTGGTTATAATAAGGATAAGGATGGAAGTAATGGGGCACGCGTGCATGAAAGTCAGCTCTGGGGATTTGGGATGTGTCACATGGAAGCTGTGCCACCAACACATCCTGCAGCAGCTCCCTGGGGCTCACTGACAGCCATACAACCAACCCATCATCCCCACCCAAACAGAATGGTTTGCTTCCATCGCAGCTCCCTGCCAGGCAAATAATACCAACGATCCACTTGGTTACATCCACGTGGAAGGACCCAGCAAGAGGCAGGGTCAGGTGTGCAAGCTAACCACCAGCCTCCCCAAAACTGGGATCAAACAGCTCCAAAGAGATTTGGGGAAGCAGCACAGTGCTGCTCTGCAGCCACATCTGACCTGCAGCACAGGAGAAAGAGCTGCACTCATAGAGTCATAAAAGCTGGGAAAGACCACGAAGATCACTGAGTCCAACCATCACCCATCTGTGCTGCTGCAGAGGCAGCAGATGCTGCACAGAAGGCACAAGAAACATGGATGTAAGGGCCAAGTTCCAGTCTAGAGCTAATTCAGGCATGCAAACAGCTTCTCAATTTTATCACCTCTCATCACTACACTGCAAGATCACATCCTACATTCCGCCATGCTAGGGCTTGGGGGCTTAGTTTTTGTTTGGTTGTTTTAGTGAAACCATAATAGCTAGAGCCCAAACAAGCAAGAATGAGCCCAGGTCCCTTCAAGGAGAAGAGCTAAGACTGATTCTTTGCCTGCTTTGATTTGTTAAATCAACCAAGTATTGCAGCTACTTCTGCTTACTGGCTATGGGTAGGGATTGCCCCCACACAGCTCAGAGCTCCTTCCAGCCCTCGGGCAGAGCTCAGGCTGCAACAAAAAGCTTTTTCTTTACGGTCCCCATGCAGAGAGCAGCACAGAGCAGCAGATGAAAGCTCCATCTGCCCCGTTCCCACAGCCCTGTGCTTCCTGAGATGACCCCCGGGTAGCAGCACGGATGTGAGGTCTCCTGACCCAGCAGAGCACACAGCCGTGGGGGTTTGCCATGTGAAAAGCAGAGTGCTCTGCCCTCAGCGAGTGCTGCTCCCCAGGGAACCCCCCCAGCTCACTGTCGTGCCTGCAGGACACGTTCAAGGCAAACTGTTGCAACACACTGCAGTCACCCCTTTGCTCTCCAGACCACTGCAGCCTTCATCTTGCCTTGCTTCCAAGCCCAGATGTTTTCTTCCTGCTGTACAAATGATGTCAGCTGCTGAGTACTGAGGAGGAAGCTGCCAACTCACTTCGAGCTCAAAGCTTGCACCAAAAAAAGAAACAAAAGGAAGAAGAAAAGGCAGAAAAGGAAAGACTGTTTCAGTATCACTTCATTAATGCCGAAACAAGGAATCACAGAGCTGTGGTCCTCAGAGCAGCTCCCTGCACAGCACCCAACTTCAGCTCCAATCCTCTTTGCTTCTCAGTGGCAAAGCTGGGGTTTGGATTGCAGTGGTTTCTCAGCTCGGAGCAGAAAACATTCTGTAGATTTATCTTTTACCCTTCTGAGACACAGAATCCAAACTGCAAGAGGCTGTGAAGCAAGCTGATCTGCATCAGGAAAGCAACTGCTCCACAGGAAGAAAAACAAAAAGATGTATTTTACGAATCATCTCATTTTTCTTTTGCTAAGAAACCGATGGGACTCCAGCATTACTGGACAGTTTATTTATCTTTTTCTCAGACAAAGCAAAAGTTCACCGCCCTTCGGAATGCAGTGGGATTTGAGCACCTGTGCACCCACATGCCATCATCAAACAGCCTTTAATTACCCCTTTGATGTGCTGGGTTTTGCTCTCCCCCCATAACACTGTTTATGAGGTGCATCTGTGCTTACTTCCAACTATTTGGGCTCCCACCCACTCACCACCCATGGCTGTTCTCTGCCCCTCTCCTGATCCTTTGCTCCCCTCCTTGGGCAGATTAATCAGCTCAAGATTAAAAGCAGACAATAAGCCAAAATGAGACAACAGCACTAACCACTGTGAGCTTATCTGTGTGTAGGCTTCCACGTCCCAGGGCTGGCATCCAGCCACATGAAACATCGTGTATCCTACCATCCCATAAGGCTGAATGCTGCGGCAAAGAGATAACGCTCAGCGTTAAGTCAAAGGGGAAGGAGAAAACTCAGAGGCACTGATTTAAAGGAAACTTTGAGCTGCAGAATGGTCTGAGTTGGAAGGGACCCTTAAAGGCCATCTGCTCCAACTCCCTGTAGTGCACAGGGACACCCACAGGTGCTCAGAGCTCCATCCAGGCTGACCTCGGCTGTCTCCAGGGATGGGGGATCCAGCACCTCTTATGGCATATTGGTTTCCTCTTCCCATTGGAGCTTTCCCAGCAGCTCTTCCCCAGCAGCACCATTTGGAGAACAGAAGTAATGGGCAGATGGGATCACGGGCCACTTCACCAACAGCCTACAGGATGCTCTGGGACTGACAAACATCACTTCAAAGAGCTCTCTGGCACCTGAAGATCTCAAAAAAAATGCAGGTTAAGAACCCAGCTTAAGAGAAACGATTGCTTTTTAGATCTCAGTGGCACAGCTGAATCCAGCCCTGCACTGGAAACAGAACGTTATTTGCTGGATGGATGCCCTGATGGGTGGGGATTAATGGGTTTTATGGCTTCCTGGTATTGTGGCATGTTCAGATTTTTTTTCTTTTCTTTGCATCCTGCCTCATTTGAGCAGGGCTTGGCTCACTGACTGCTCTTCCTGGAGTTTCTATTAATAGTTTTTTGCTTCCAGCTTTGCCCTCTAAAGCCTTTTTTCAACCCGTTTAATTATGTGACATCTAAAGCATGCACAAAACTCTTCCTCCGTCTTCAGCTAATGAATGCCACTACCAGGAAAGAGAAAAACTGTTTGATATGGACAATATAAAACTGAATTAGGCCAAAAAAAATTGGATATGTCATACAACCACGTGTGCAGGGTTCCATTCACTGTTACAAACTGCAGTTGTATGCATTATTTCAGGCAATGACCAGCACAGAATGCACCTATTGTGTAAGAGCAGTTTATAAGGTGTAAATCCTCAATATTTAACTGTTAGCAGTCAGGTTTTAAATAGCAGCTTGATTACTATAAACACATCTGCCTTTTTAATACTATTTAATCTTTGCAGCCACCGCGTGTGATGAAATCTGCTGTATTTATTGAGTTGTATCTACTGTTGGAAGGCACTTTATGGAAGGGTTGTAATTAAATTCAGCCCTGGTAATTGCAGAGCTCCCTGCAATGAGGACTGGAGCTGCTGCTGGTCTGTGGTGCAGCAGTGCCCTCCTGGCACTGGGGTGGACTGGGAGAGATGCTGTGGAAGTGAATGGGATCCGATCAATACACACAAAGGAGAAGCCAGGCCCCTGACCGACCCAAGAGAAGATTATGCCATAATCTTCATGCCATAATCAGAGACCTTATTTCATCCCAAGGCTTCCAACTCTCAGCTGTAAGATACCACAATCCCTTCATGGTTAAATGCCATTATAACCAAGGTCAAGGCAACGTACCTTGTCCACTGACAGCGCTGTTCTAAAGCCAACTCTCAGCTACAGGACAGAAACCTCAACACCTCTTCGAGCTCCAAAGTCCCCAATCAAGCAGCCTGGAAGAGCCTCGCATCCCCTCTATTCCCATTCAGGCAGTTCTTCCCCTAAAACACACTCCAGGGTGTGTTTATTCAATCTAGAAC